CGGGGGGGGGGGGGGCCCCTTTGGGGGCCCCCCAGTGGGCCCCACACCCTGTGGGTATTTCTTGTGGGTCTCAGTTGGGGCTTTTGAGCAGTTTGGCTCTTCACTCGAATTCTGTTTTATCTCTTTCGGGGTTTTGTGTGCCTCCGCTGCACCAGGCCATTTTGCCCAGGGAGGCCCCTGCTGCTGCAGCACGGTCTGCTGCTGCTGCTGCTGCTGGTTTGCTGCGGGTGTTGCTGTTTGGCTGCGGCTGCTGCTTCGCTGCGCTGTTTTGCTGCGCCTGCTGCTGTTTTGCTGCTGGTGGTGTTTTGCTGCTGCTGTTGTTTTGCTGCTGCTGCTGCTAGGGGGAGAGGGGATGTAGATGGGATAGCTGCTTCCTGCTGCTGCTGCTGCTGCTGCGGGTGTCCGTAGATTCATGCAGCGCCTGCTGCTGCTGCCGCCTCCGCCAGCTGCAGCAGACGCAATGCAGCAGCTGCTGCGGCAGCTGATGCTGCTGAAATTAGCACCAGCAGCAGCAACGCCACCAGCAGCAGCAGAAGCAGCAGCAGCAACTGATGAGGAGCCTCACAGCCCAGGCGATCAGCCAACAGCACAGCTGCAGCAGCAGCAGCAGCAACAGGAGCAGCAGCAGCAACAGCAGCTGCTGCTGCCTTCTGTGAAAATACCGCATATGGGGAAGGTCGTGCAGCTAATATCTACTCGGAAGGTTAGCAAACCCTAAACCCTAAAACCTAAACCCTAAAACGTAAACCCTAAACCCTTATTTTTCTGTCTGAAGGCATGAGCCTGTCTTTTTGCTCATCTTTACTCCTCCCTAGGGTTTAGGGCTTAGGGTTTAGGGTTTGAGGCATGTTGTTAAGAGCTGAAGGTTGAATGCCTACAGCGTCATGCAACCACCTCTAGGGTTTAGGGTTTAGGGTTCGGGATATAGGGTTTGGGGATTAGGGTTTAGGGTTTAGGGTTTAGGGTTTAGGGTTTGGGCGCAGGCGAACCGCCTTATGCTAGCAGACCTGCTGAGTCTGCTGCAGCCGGCGCTGCACTGCCTGGAGTCTTATCCGCAGCAGCTGCTGCAGCCGCTGCTGCTGCTGCTGCAGCAGCAGACGCA